GTCCGAAATATTGTTATTAATATTATAGTATATCGGTATACACGAAGATCGGTGATGGCGGTGGCCTTTTCACGGACCTTTGCGAAAACGATTAAATCCATTTATTATATGCGTGCACCTGCGGGCTCAAGTACATTGACCAACAATGTTCAGTGTTCATAATATAATGTGTGTAATAATTCATCGTGATACAGAATGAATACGTGTATAATAATACGCTAATACGCTGGGAGCACAATTTTTTTTTTTTATTATGACAATATATTAGTTATAGTAGCTATCATTAAATACTGAAAAAAGTAAAATACAATATTTATATGTCCACGAATAAAATTTAAATGCAAATAAACTGTTTTTTTTTTTTGATAAATTTAATTAGGAAATTATGTTTTAGTTCTTAACTTGTTAACTTAGTTCGTGTACTTGACTAATGTCATCGCGAATTTGAACTTAAGACGCTCGTTCAAAAAAATGTACAACAGAAAGCAAATTTTTTTTTTACTTAATAACTTACTTACAAAATAAAAATATTTTTGCTAAATTAAAGCGTAAAAGATTTCATTAATGTAGTATAAAGTATATTATGCTTACATATTTATGCATTTTTTAATACTGTTGAGTTTATATATTGTTTACATTTTAAGACATAGGTAACTACGAGTGATTAAATTTTGCTTGTTCAAAACAGGTATCTATAGGTATTGTTGAGTTATTACCATGCCTATATTATGATTTTGTTTTAATTTATTTCTTATGTTTATATGAGTACTATAAAATATTCATAATATATTGTTTGTTCTGTTAATAAACTTATTACGTAGATTAGGTAATTTGTGTGTATTTTAGTTTAGTATAAAATAAATAATTAATATTGAAATTTATTTGAAGTAGGTTTAAGAATTGCAATACACATTCAAATATGTAATGGTTAAAAAAGAGAATTAAGAATGGAAATTATTGATTTCGTGCCTTATATATTACGCGAGTGGATTTCAATTTGATTTTAATTTTCAGTATTTTTAATTTTGCAGCCCATCAAAAAATGCATAATGACGTTTTTGTAGGCTTGATAATATGTCAATATTATTAAATTGAATAATTTACTCCAATATTAAAACTAACAGCACAAAGTAGCATCTGCTAAACGCAATTTTGCTATGTCGTATGTTTGTAAGACAGATACAGCTACACATGCGGATAGGTATCATGACCTTTTAACAGTACAACTTACGCTGGATCAGTATCAAATTTGTGTGCATTTTTACGTCCCAACACAATTTTAATTTATATAAAACCGCCAAAAACTTTGAAAACCGAAAGAATAATTTAAAATTTTCATCTTGTCTAGAGAAATGGCTAATATACGTATTCGCTGAAATGTTTCAGATTTGTACGATATTAGTTTTCACTTAATAATACAATGAAAACACAATCTAAATTAATAGAAACCGTGTTCGCATAAATATTTCGGATTTTCCGACGTTTTATTCCACGGTTTCCCAATATTATTTAGATTTTAGACAATTATATAAGGAAAATCAAACAATAACCTCAACGCACAAAATGTTCTACTACAAACATTTTTCCAAGTAGAACCTTAACTAGTACACATAACCATTGGGGGAAATTATACATTTTATTTAACGTTGATCATTTTTGTCATAAAAAGCATAAAAGTCGGAATATTATTTTGAACATTTTTTATTCGTTATAATATCGTATTACTAAAATGAATAAGAAAAAAAAAACCACTCGAATATCTTGTTCTTTAAATTTTCTCCTCCTCTGAATGCTTTTATAGTATTTTCTCCTCTTTCACGGTTTTTAATGCGTTCGGAAAATGAAGATGTCGACTCGAGACAAGTCAAAGGACTCGTATTTCCTGAATTGTTTGGTCGTGTAGTGCATTCATTATTATTTACTTTTAAATAATATTATATAAACATTTTTATTTCGGTTATGGTCGTTTATGTTATTATGACAAGCGGTATGTTTGACAATGACGTTTACATTCCATTTTGTTTCTTGAGCTTAAACAGCTTCAAGTCTGTTGTATACATATAATTTATAATAAACAATGTTGTATGTATCAAGTTGTTTTTTTTTTTTTAATAACACAAATTAAAGAACCACTTTAAGTTTTAACGACGAAGTCGGTGACCAACTACTAATTTAATTCAACCCGTACTTTTGAATCGCGTTAAATTACATTTATTATTCGGCCATTTTAGGGAACTTTTTCGCGTTGGTAAAAATGTATCGATTTTTCCACCTCATACCTTTTTTGCCCGGTTGTACTTTGTTTGAATCATTTTTCTACGGATTTCTAACACTTTATCTAAACAATTAAAAACAACTGACAACAAAAGACGATACATCTGTACATTTGATTATTTTGAATTTTTGGGTTAATAATCAGTTATGTAAAATCGCGAGATAGTTTTTTCGATCGAAATCGTGTTTCGTTGATATGTGCAGCGCAACAACTAAACTACCCTGTATACTTTCCATCTTATATCTACCTTCCCAGATTCCCACAGACGATAGTGGCATATCCATAGTGCGAAGTACTCACCCGGCCTTCGTTGTTATTATTACTATAATATTATATTCGCCATTCGCGCGATGGCTATGTTATATCGATCGTGTCGTCGCAGGTGTGCAGCGGACAATGGACCCGAATAAATCTTTAATATTTCATACTCTATACTGATTTTATTATTCTCTCGAAAACCATTATATTTCATAACGCGATAGAATATTGTATTGTGTCGTTTATAGTTTGGAAAATGTTTTAGCATAAACGACGGCGGCGAACCGAATTCGGAAGTCGGCGAATATAAAGCTTTTCGAGCACAGCTTTTTGAATACCTTTTTAAGCTATGTTATTGTTGTTGTAAACGGCACGCGTACTCGCGAAATCGTCTTATATATTATACTCACGAACACTGTTTATTCGGTAACGAAACGGTTTTATCCCCGACCTTTAATCCTGACTTTTCTTTTCGGAAAATATAATAATGCGTTTCGTATACAAATACTATACACACATACGACGATGTAACGTTATATTTTTGTTATTTTCGCGTGTGTACGTATACGAAATATACAAGAAAGTATAGAAATAAATTATACGAACAAATCTTCTACGTTTTTATCGTCGAAAAAGTTTCTGCCGCGTGGACATAATAGTGCGTATTACTGTATTAGATCTCGCAGAAAACTTATAATGTTATTTACCAACTATTTCATAATGACTTACATATCTATACCTACTCGAAAACAAAACTCGCGGTTATGCTATTTTTTTTTTTTATGTTTTTATACGCATTTTAATGAGATAACACTTCGTCACCGGCTATCGGGTGTTTTTTATTCGCTGTAAAACCCTTACCCTCCTGTTGGCAGAACAAAAAAATGCGAAAATTCGAGTGTAATGATGTATACCTCTGTAGGTATATATAATTACAATTTACACAAATCGATCTTCGAGATGTTATCAATTGCAGCACAGTGATGAGACAGAGATGTTTGGACAATTTATCTAAATGAAAAACGTCTAGATAAAGATAATACGTATTTAAATTATCTTAGATAAGATAATAATAAATAGCTGAAATAATTATCTATACTTTATACAAGGTTATCCAAATTGCATGATGTAGTCAAATTAGCAATGAAATATTTATTTGCTCAAATAAAGTACGTAAAACCTTTTCGGAATCGTATATTCTAAAATGTCATACATTGTCCTTATTTTAGTTACCCTTATTTTTATGGGTGAAACGACTAACTTTTTGATTTTAAAACGGCAACCTATATTGAAAGTGTCATAAATAGATAACATATTAGTTTAAATCTGTTTTTGTGTTGAAATTATTGATTTCCGTCTACCCGTTGACGAGATTTTCCATTTTTAAATTTGGTTAGTTGGAGAATGGTAGAGTACTATTCAAATGTCAACACTCAAATGATGTTTTATTTCTGAAAAACAACTTACAAAACCTAGGGAATTTAAAACGGTGTATAATTGGATTTTGCTTCGAATCGTATTTCGTTAGCAATAGTTTAACGTTGCTTGCAGATATAAATTACATGAATTTATGTATACTACCTTCCCAACTTCCAATCTACAATAGTGACGCACACATCAGTATCAGCTTTTAGTTTTTTAAATCTTTTATCTTAGCCATAATATAAATGTGATATCTCAGTTATCTGAGATAAACGATTGAATCGTCTATAGATAAATGTTTTTAAATCGTATAATTCATATCGTATATTTATTGAAAATAAAATAGCGGAAATATGAATTATGAACCATTAAGTTACGTCGATCGTCACACACTCTTTTTTTAAAATCTAGTCGTACCATGAAAATCCGCGGTACACTTTTATCGCGCTCGAACGGAAAGGAATAATTGTTTTTTCCCATCGAGATCTAGTCGAATTCGCCTGTTATTCATTACCGTCCGGATAATGTTATTAATTTATTACCAATCATCTCTGTAGTCTAGAGGGTTTTTTTTTTTTGTTTGCAAAATTATTAACAATATTATTACAAGTTTTACGAGATAATATTGTTATTTTTATTACGGCGTAACACCGGGCGCAATAAAAATATGCAAATCCGGTCTTCGCAGTTATCGCAGTAATAGTGTAGTGTTATTATTGTCGGCGCGCGTACTTACACCGCGGCGGCGACGGACCGCCGAAAGGGTCCCCGGCACGCATAATAGTCGACGGACGGCCGCGGCGCGAGGGAAGTAGCGGCGGGGGGGGGCGGGGAGGGGCGCGCGCGCTGCCGCCGTCGGCCAATTAATGCCGCCAGAGGTCGGTCCCTGCGCGCCGGCGGCGGGTAGAAAAATCAATTGCGGTCGCATGCCCGCGGCGGCGGCGCGCGCGATAGCGTGTCTGGCGGCCCGGGCGGGTGGCGAGAGAAAAACGCTCGAGCGGCACCGCACCGGGACACGGCCGCGTAACGCAGTGTGCGTGCGGCGCGGAATCGAATCGAACGGCGCCCGTCGCATTGTAATAACCGCACATAATACCATTGGGTATTATCAGTGCCAGGGTTACCGGGTCACCGGGGTGCACGGAACAACAATACCGCCGTGGCTCGTCTGCGTCCGCGTGGTTACTGCTGTTGTTGTTGTTGTCGTTGAATAATACCGCGATATGGCCGTAACGACGACGTTTTACTCTATTACGCCAGCACGATAGTTGTCGTCGTTTGTTTACATTATCTCGTTCGCCGCGAACGGCTATAAGCCGACCGCCATCGGCTGTTTTCTTCAACATGGTCCGGCATCGTCCCGGGGACCAAGGAAACGCGGCCGGAGCCGCCGATTGATCGCAGCAACCCGTCGCCGACGCCGCCGGCCGACGACAGTCTCGCGAAAACGATAATCATTTATTTGTTCGTCCGTTTCTTGCACAACAGCCGCCGCCGCCGCCGTAGTTTCACGGCCAGTGTCATGCCTCCATGTACACGAGCGTCACGTCGTCTCGTCCCCTCGACCAGTTTAAAGGTAAGCCGACCGCTGCTCGCGATTTGCCAGTGTTCGGAATAATTGTACGGCTGAGCGCGGTATCGAGTTATATCATAAGCCGGCGACGTAGTAACGGGGGGGGGGGGGAGGGGAGACGGGGAGAGATAACGGGGATATTCCCCTCCCCCCTTCACCCATAGCCTTTTTTCCATGTTAAACAATTTACCCCGGTACACCTGTTTGTAAAGGTGTTTATGGAACGGTTAACGGCGGTCACAGCTCAAAAGTGCTAGAACTGAATCGCTCGCGGTTCTTTATACATATTTCGAAGTACGGTTCATTAGCCACCGGTAGGCTACCGTAGTAGACGCGAAGTTTGAAAACACGTATAGAAAGTATGGGGCAATTTAATTTATACATGTACTGAACATATTTTTACTAGGTACCTAACTGTAAAAGTCTCGGTAAAATTAATAGTTTCTTCGTTACATTCAGAGTCCAGAACGAATATGCTATAAGAGGTGTGGAGGGACACAAATTACGTTCACCTAACAAATTATCCATTCCCTAAAGCTAAAATTTGGCTGCTTTTTGACAATATTCAACACCGTAGGATTTCGGTACACAGATATAGTTGGCAGTGTGATACGATGGTTTTTTATCGGGTGGTATTTTTCGGATTATGATAATGGCGTTTTGTCGAATACACATTGTCATTTTACACTTAGTCGTAATCACATGACGAGTTAGTTGATTGAAAATATGATCGAATTGAAGCCAGGTGAAAATCGTTCGTACAAATGTGTAAAAGAACAGTTTGATATTTCTGAACACACAATATTCGTGTACAGTAGTCATATTATTAACAAATAACTATTGGGTGCCACGTGTTTGTGACTCTCGGTGGTTTGCCGAGATGATTTCTGTGGCTCTGCTCATCCTATCGTCCAATCCACCCGGTTACACATACATATTCGGTTTGTGTAGGTTGATGTTTTTAAGTAGTTTAAATATTTTAATTCAATTTAGAGCCGCTTCTATTACCTTTATTTGTTTATCCTTTGGGTAAATATCTAACTTGGCTAATGTCGTTCTATACAGTATCACTAGTTATCATAAAAGCGTATTGTTTATAAAGTTATCGGTAACTCGTCAAACAGTTTTAATATACCGAAGAAGCATTTTACCTAAAGGATAACATAGTTTATATTATTATTTGTATAATAAATCAAAATCTTATTGTAAAGTGATTTTGCAAATTTGTACGAGCTATACGATAAAACTATTTTATGACTAAAATTTAGCGTAAACATATTATTTTGTAATTTTGACATTTTATCCGACGACGAGGACGGTAATGCAGATTTGCCGACACCCCGAAAATACAAACATGTCCACGTGTCAAACGGTAACATTTGACTTATTAAAAATCCGTTTTCAAAATCTTTAAAATATAATAAATATATATCGTATTATTATACGATATTTCTTTATCCCTCCCATATCTAGCTTAATATAGTCATGTTTTACAAGTATTAGCTGTCAACCCAACTTTCTTACCAACCTAACCTATTTCTTATACAACCTTCCCATTCAATATTTCCCATTTTCTCTTGGTATTCTTTGTTCAACCAATGCTTTCTGTAAGGTGTCTAACCCTTGTACCTAGATATTATAGAAACACGAAAAAAACACATTTATAACATTTTCTAGTCTCGTCCCAATTCATTTTCTCATAGCTGCTTTGATTGCGTCTTCCTTTTACCAGCCAACGTATTACATGTCCAAACCGCTGCAGTCTCTGCCCTTTGATCACATTTTGTTAAAAACGGTAATTTTGCTATCTTACACATCTCTTCATTGTTCTATGCCATCATTGCCCATCTTTTACATTACAATAAATGCATTTTCGGTGTACTCAAATAATTATTGTACACAAATTTCCTGCACGTACGTATATGTATGCATTTTAGTAGCGTCGTCGTTTTAATTTTTTTTTGTTGATTGAAATCATTGTAATATTGCATTACATTATTCGCTAATATTATATGGTATTAGGTACAACAGATCGATTCGAAAAGTCGAGAACGATGCCAATGACAAGTATTTCAAACGCCACATAAAATTATGACTCTGCAGACTCGATAATATAATTCGATAACGTTTTATTTTGAAAATGGTACTGACTACTAAATCACCACGGAAAACGTACACAATAAGCCCATTTAAGCCACAAGCGTAAACAGTTTGTGTTATGGGTACTACAAATATAGACGCAGTAATGAAATAAGATAAACACGCCATCTATTTTAAATAATTGGCATTGTTTCGTGCGGATTTACGAAAACATTTTTAATATTATTTGATGTCCCGTCATTGTATGTTTGAGTAAGTATTGAGAAAGTGCTTGTTGCATCATGTAAATCTGCAAAAAATGACATGGTCAACATTTAAATATAAAATATGTACTTCGGCTGCAGTATTAGAATAATATTATGATACAGGTAGGGGAGATATAGCGGGGTACTAATTATAATCGGTAAAAATGTTTTCGTTTTATAAAATTAAGTTTTTTTAATTAAATAAAAACATCCGTGAGCAGCTCAGTCGAATTTTCCTCCAGTCGAATTATTACCGCTACAATATTTAATATAATATAATTGATCTAAAATAGTTGTGGTGGCCGGAATTGTATTACATTTTAGTCTGTAGGAGTATTTAAAACCCGGCGTTTTTTGAGAAAACATAAAATTTAAGCACAATTGAGGCAAGGGTTGAAAATTTAAACCCCAATAGACAAATCCTTGATACTAAAACCACGTGTTAACAAAATGTCATACATTTTGCTTCGTTGACGGGACAATGTCCTTTTCAATGCTATTTGTTATAATATCCTTCACTTTTTGTACAATTTTCCCTGAATATTAGGACTATTACACTGTAATATTACATAAGTATTTATCTATTTCTCGCTACTATTGGATACATTTTAGCGATTCCCTCTAGACTAAATGAACTCAAACTCAGGAATTAGAGTTATTTTTATGGGTGGATTGAAATGATAAAGATTTCATTGAACTTAAACATGCACTTCAGAATATTGCTGTGGAAGCTTTTAGCTATTCAGCCGTTAGCATCCCTACAGACCCACCAAATGAGCCAGGGGATGAAATTTTTTATATGCATGACGTTAGTATCAAGGATGCACATTTTGGGGTTTAAACAAGTGGTGAATATCGGAATATCGATTATAGGGTTATTTTCAAAACCGATATTTTAACAAATAAATATATGTATATTTGGGGAAAATATATCAATACTAAATCAGGGATATAAAAAGCGTCGGTATCAAAAAGAAGTTATATCAGATCAGCGCTAGTTTAAAAGTTAAACGTCAACCTTCGCCCCTGTTATTTTTATGTTCAAATCCACAGTAGTATTATTCACATTGGAAGTAGTATAGTCATAAGCGTACGCACGGGTGATGCAGGAGAGGCGGTTTTCTCCTCTGCGATATTTTCCGCCAAAATATTTTAAGAAAAAACATGTTAGATATACATTTTTTTTAAAAATATTATTGCAATGTTTCCCAATGTTTTTTTACCCAACGCCTCTATTAGATTTTCAATAATTCACCTCTCCCCCGGAAATACCCCCCATAAAAAAAAACCGTTTACTTTTCATAATCAGCCGTATAATTAAAGTGAAAAATACATATTTTCTTCACATTTTGTTCTCAAACATTTTATTATGATTACAAATATGTATAACTATCATATACGCACATTAAATTATAACTTCATGTAATAAATTAATATAGTATAGGATATTAAATTATTTTTTATTGCATGCAGATATACATTTCATTGCAAACATTTATGAATTTGCTATTAATATTTTAGTAATAATATAATTGTTTTTAATAATAGTGAATTTTTTTTATTATGAAATTTACAGTAGAATCATCCACTTAGCGCCACTTTAAGTATAAAACCCCCTCAAAATTTAAAAAGCTCACAAGGGGCAATAACATCCACGCCCTTATTAGGAATCACTGCCCTAATGTATCCTTATTTTGTACATTGGCGCAAACAGGAGAGACACCTTCAGAAGATTTTGATCCCCCCCCTCTCCTAATACTTAACCAAACCTCCTAAAATAAAGTCATCGTCAAATAAATACTAAGTGTATATAATCAATTTTATTGCCTATTGGGGCTTAAGTCCGCTCCAAAAATATTTGCATTATTTGTGCTTATGATTTTTGTGTAAGGTTTGATTTTAAAAAACATCGCATCTCTTGCCAAGAAGACCTACGTACGCTTATGGGAATAGTTATTCTACTACTCACTGATGGTTAGGTTTTCTTCGCTAAATGTAGTTATTCATGTACAACAGCGTGCGAAAGTATAAAAAATGCGAATATTTTTACTTTTTTTTATAGTATTACTGTATTAAGTCGGGTAAGTTAATGAAAATAATTAATATGATCACGTGATAAAGTCTAGTGAAATAAATAAAAAATGTTTTCATTGAAAAATAAAAAAAAGAAACATATTTGACTCGTAAGTTAGAACTGTTAGAGCGTAAAAAAAAACCAGAATGTTCTAATTATTCTATGTTTAATTTAAAAAGGTAATTATTGTGTTTTAATAAATTTTATAAAATATTTGGTGAAGTATGTTAGACTATGTCGTAACAATTTTGAATGCATTTCGGAAAAAAATAATAATTGGGGAAGTTCATGAAATTAACTGTGAAATAACCATATTTATACAACGAAAACTAATTATTTAACAGCAAAAATTGTTAACTAGTAGAAATAATAATAATAATAAAAAAAAATGTATTTTAAACTACACTATTTGTTCATCACCAAGAAAATGTAACGACCTTTTGGAGAAACAGCGAATCGAGTACCTAAATAATAGAAGATGTTTCGTTTTGTTTCTAGGAAAAAATTTTTTTTGGGGGTGGAGATTGAAAGAAGACTATAGAACATTAAAAACAATTGCACAAACTATAATAGGTATAATAAGACAAGAGTTCGAAATATATAGTTCAATTTAATTTAATGTTTTAAAAAAAACAATAATAATCGAATTGTATACCAGTTGAACCACTTATACTCGTATATTAAATAAACGTATTAACCGATAATATTTATGACCTATATGAAAAAGAACCTTTCCATCATAAGTATATAATATATTTATTTAAGGTACAAGGATTAAAAGGGGTAAATAAATGTTAAGGTGCTAGTGTGTTTTTTTTTTCTCAAAAATATGTCTTACGGCGAAAAATCTCACGCTTGTGCGAATGATCCGATTTCGGTGATTATTGTTTTGCTGAAAGAAAAAGACTTTAAAAACAGCCAATTTCTAACGTTTTTTTTTTTTTTTTTACTGCTATTAAAACCAAATGAAAAATCGTGATATAATTTGATCTGAAAAATGTTTTATTTATTAAATCAAAAACAAAATTTAAGGAAATTATTAGATTTACAATGAGTTATATCTATTCCCGCGAAGTCATTTTCGTCCGTTAAATGACCGTATATCTCTTTATCTTAAATATGTATCGGACAGTATAGATTAGTGGAAAAGTCTTACCTTTAAGGTACCATTACAATATTAAATTAATTGTATAAACCGGTGAAACGATTCTATACTTATTGGAAGAAAAAAACTTCGCTCAGAATTGAATACAGTTTATTTATTATCGGACATAAATGATGAATTAATTAATAAAAAAAAATAAATAGATATACTTCGCACGATGGGTGAGCCAATGTTGTAAGTGAGAAGCTGTGAAGGTAGAAGGAAAATTTAATGTATAACAATATAATGTACGTAAAAATTAATTATTTCCAACGAAAAACAATTCTGAGCGGAATTCGGTTACTCATGTTTTGAAAGGCCGTAATATTTATAATTTTAAAACAATACATTTCGTAAAATTTTCCGGTTTTTCTTCTTTTTTCCGATTTATTATGAAAACCCTGCTATGCTGTAAAATATCGGAGCAAGATTTCTGGTAGACATATTGTTTGTGAATAAAAAAAAAAAAATGTAACAAAAGTAAAATAATAAATATAAATGTAAAACCAATATATTTTCCGCTGTGCTCAGAATCTAACAAATTTAATTAAAAGCTAAAATCCGCTGTTAAAAAATCGCTGGTTACGGATATGTGGATGACTCTGTATAATTATGTAAATTACACTCTCGTTTCACGCGGACACGATAATAATGATTGGCCCGTCGTCCCGTTTTATCGATTCCGCGGCTCGGCGGTTGTGTCGGGCTATAGTTAAAGCGATTAATAATATTAACGAGTCAGCGATCGTTGTTAGCTATTCCGAGTCCGTTCCGGAGATTTATGCGCTTCGAACGACGTTTATTAAAACCGAAACGACCGCTGTCCGCGGGTGTAAATCGTGCAGCGCAAAAAGCGATTAATCGCGAACAAATTAACATCATTTCGTCGGTTAATCGTAATAATTCATTTACAATGCGCGGCCAACGTCCAACAATGGATATTAAATTAATGATGTTATAATTTAATCTTTATTTTACAGATACTCGAGTTATGAAGGTCGAAACCGATGTGTCCACCATATTCAATCCGCGAAAGCCCAGGCTTTCGCAGAGCAACGCCGTGCTGACGTCAGGTTCCTTCTCGCACGTACTGTCCAGAAGCGAATCTCGTACGTGTTGTTCATTTATTAAATATTATTAATTCAAGGACGAGCGTGATATTTCAGAATTAGTACCCAGGGTATAATTACGGAAGGGGCAGGGTATTTGGGATAGACCACGAGGTGTATTTATATTATACCGTTTTAAATTCAAAGTGTCTTGGTTTACAATATAATACAAATTTACTAATCATTGTGAAAAAAAGAACTGAAATTGGTGAAATCTTTATCACCACCGTCATCGAACCAGAACAAGTGGCCGCTGATACCGTCTGGTTTGCCAACTATTAGAAAACTATAAGCAAAATAACAAATAACCTCCTCAGTACAACTTTAAATCCAAAATGAAACAAAAAAGGATTCTTCATTTTTTGGAGCAAAATTTCCGGTAAAAAGTTAATTACAGACTGAAAAAAAAAAAAAATAAGTACATCCTCCTCTCAGAATCTAAAAACAAATTAATAATGTTTTGTTTTATCAGTAATATATATGTCGATGGTCCTACTTAGTTCATATACATAGACATAATAACACTATAACATTATATTGTTTTACGGGGAAAAAAATACACACATAATAAAATTAAAAAAATGCTAAGTTTAATACAGAAATACGAGTATTGTTATACTAAACATAGTTTTAAAGAGGGTGTGAGGAGGGAGTTCCTTAAAGGTTTGCCTCAAAGAGTTATTTTTAAACCTCCTCCCTAGTATGTTAGATACTCGATATTTTCATTTTGTGTGTTTATGTATTTAAATACTAAATACTCGATACATTAAAATTAAAGTATTAATTAAATTGTTCATGCGGTATTTTAAAAAGACTATGATTTTATTTTATTTGAAACATTTTTTAACGTTTTTACACAGCCCGAAAACGCATAACTTCTAATACCTTCCGTAACATATTATCTGTAGGTAATGCAGGTATAATCAAAATCTATAATCGCACTTCAATATTATTGATCGGTGGCTCAACTATTTTAGAAAGTCTTAAAAAAAAAAAAAAAAAAAACTATATAGTCTTTAAAATTTAAATGAATTGCCTCCGTGTTGCTTATATTATATTATTTTTCAATTTGTATACAATTTAGTGTGTCAGCCTGAAGACGTGGAACAGGTGGAACAATGTCAGCGGAAGCAGTTGGGCATGTTCAAGAGACTGAAGAACAAACTGTGTTCAAAACACGCGAGAAAGGTGCGCGATTCGGACTGTGAAGACGGCGGCTATGGGTCTATAATGTGCTACCCCAATAAAATAAAAATAACAAAAATAATGGCTTTCCGAAAAAAATCGAACGGCTTTCTCGTAAATTTCGTGTACATTTTATATTGGTCTGTGTCCGGTTTTGGCGTATTCCGCCCCGTGAAAAAAAAAAAAAAGATTAAATTATTGAAAAAAAAATATAAATATGGATTTTATAATAATGTTTTTGTTGGGCGGTGTAAAAACAGGTATGCAATTATATAACGCGGCCAATACCTGAACACGTAGTCAATGCCATAGAGTAAAAAATATGTAAGCCCCGCCTCCCAATAATTACGATCCGATCGGATTTCCCGTGGTCAATAATTTTCATAAATTTATTTTATAAGTAATTTTTTTAATTGGGCTGGAATTTTACTGAAAACTGTTTACAAGACCTGATTAAACGCGTGGAAATATTCCGATATATTTTGTGCCCCAACACGATTTATCACAAACCGGCAATTTTTCCATATAATTCACAATTTCATATGAATTTGATTTCTGTTTTTTTTTTTTTTTTTTTTGAATGAAGGAGTAACAAATAGCCATCCATCAAAACAAACTTTCAGATTTATAATATCTACTATTTGTAGGATTTCTGCTTAGTTAACTTATTGAGTAATTTTTGTGAATTTTTGCTTATATAATACAAAATAAATAATTAATCTTGAAATTAATTAAAACAGGCTTTTTAATTTTACTATACATTTTAGTATAATAATTTAATTTATAAATAAATATGTTATGATTGAAAGTCAGAATTTCAACGCGAGCGAAGTGATCGGTTTCGGTATTGGTTTAAATGTTCAATTTTGGTTTTGCGTTCCGTAAAAATATTTGAAATGAAACCCCGTTAGTGAAAGCTTTATTTTAATATTATTCCTACTGTTTATTAACTCTTATAGTCTTCTATTGCATTGGCATGCACTTCGGATTTTAAAAAATAGAGTTCTTTTAAAATTTTGACCGGAGGAGAAATGAATAAGGGTAATAAAATTCCATACCCGTTTAGATAATAAATTAACAACTTTTCTACTTGTCTGGTTTAAACTTTTAACTGTTATAAAAAAACTTTATTTATTGATATTTGTTTAGATATTTTAGTGTTATACGTATGAAAATATATAGACAACTATACCCTTTTTGAACCTACGTTTAAAAGAATTTTATCTGAAAATCTAAAGTATATATATATATTGAGTTATTGCTTAAAAAATTCCACAATAATTAAAAAAATAAATCAAATTCACTTTAAATTCTCAAAAAAATCACTGGTTCATGGTAAACGAATCACCTTAATACATTAAGGGGTAGCTCATCTGACCTTCGTCGCCGCCAGATTTGTTTAAAAAAAAATCTACAGTTTGTTATTTTCAATTTTCTTGTCACTGTCGTGGTGTATCCTACTCTATTCCACAGGTGTACTATGGGTTGTGTGTGACGTTCTTCGTCACTACTTCCTGGGTCGGCGCCACCCACGCCATCAAGTACCTGTACATGTACCATCCGACCAAGTATCCAGTGCTCACCGGCACCGGATTCAATTTTTCGTCCATACACCAACAAACGGTAAACGACAAACACTATACTATACTAACTCAATTATACTTAATATGTATTATTAAGGGGGTTTCACACTATAGAGCTTTCGTCGTTATTATACAGCACATTTTTTTAGTAAATATCCACTGTATATCCACTTCTTTCTCCTAAAAAACCCCACAAACAGATAGGCTAAACTTTCCCTTGTTACCCCTCCCACCAACAGCGAGAGTAATCAATTTACGTAATTAAATATTATGTTTGTTTCGTAATCTTCTGATTCGATCATTTACCATTTATTTATTAGTTGATACGCAATTGTCAAAATCTTATTCCGGTGAGTGTCTTCTAGTGCATTTTACTGTGTGTCCATTTAGATACAGAAAATCTCCTTGAAACATTTCTCGTTATAATATAACCATCGCAATCGGAAGCAATATTAATCATCGATGTTAAATTGTTCTCTGAAATGTTTAATACAAAAAATAAAAAATATTTGCCATATCATAATAATCGTCCGTGAAATAAAAATTACCGTTTCACATGACGCTATCGAATTGCGTAGAATACGACCAAACGAGACCAGTCTAGAATTCGTTATGTTTAACCCCTCGACCTGTGCGTGTCGTAATAACCAACGGCCGTAGTTGTTAATGCGAATTTTTACGAAAATATTTAAATATATTTTTTTTTTTTGTTTGTACCTATGTATGTATGTATGTATGTATGTATTATTATTGGTTGAACTCACGAATATGGTTCGGCGTGGTAAAACCAACATATTTTCGACGAGCAGGCAAATTAAATTAAATCGTTTAATATATGTTTTGCGTGTGCGAAAATGTTATAAAATTCAAGTCCCGGAGAGATGAACCTGTCTTTTGAAAATATAATACAATTTTTGGACGCGAAATTTAATCACGAACTATTGCCCGCACAAGTCGGCCAATAAATGGCGATAAAGGCTTCGACAAATTATACCTACGAGTTTGTGGATAATAAGTCGAGAATATTATCAATATTTTAAGTCATCAATGCCATTTAATAAACAGTGTTTTGACATGCATTTGGTCTGCCGCCAAATTCGATTTGCAGTGACTTGTATAGTGTATAATTTGATAGTTATTTGAGTTATTTCTAATAAACCACGTTGTAAAAATACACGCAAACATTATTCGTCTTTATTGACATAACTATTTTGCATTAAGAGTTTTCACTAGGTGTTAGTGATGTCAAGTTTCCGACATTTTATATTCAAGAAATTTTCAAGATGAAATTTTTGAAATCTGAACATTTTTTTTTTAAATTCAGTTTACAATTTTACATTAACTTTAGACATACTATTAAAGTTGGTATTACTCAATTTTAAATTTTGTTTTACAAATATAAATATATATATTATTATACAATTTAGAAATGAAATAACTAGAAATTGGAATCTAAAGTCGAAATGTCTTCATTATTCTTTTCTAACATCTGTGTAATGCCATTGTCTCCGAGTGCTTCGTCTTCATCCCCTCAGTTTCATAAATTTCTTCGTTTTTGGTTATTTTTTCAATATGTTTAACTCTGTTTCGAATTCAGTCTAGTTTTACAATACGTACCTATCGCAGAACCGCACATGTGGACAAACAAATATTTTAATTTTTCGATTATCACATACACATTAGAAGTTTGATGATTATAGTATTATACTGTTATCAGTGTAAACACATTTATAGTCCGTTACTATAGATGAGATTTTTACAGTGTTGTTAATTTACTAACGCATAATTGCTATAAAGAACAACAAATATAAATGTATTTTTTTTGTTTTTAAAATTTCTTCTGATAATTTCCAGGGGTCAGGAATTTCCATTTTAGACATTTCTTACTTACGTCGCTACTAGATACGCATCTTATATTTCTTTTTCAAACGGTAATTGCTCCTGCAATTCTCGACTCACAGTATCTAAAATCTACTTTCACTATTACGCGTCGGTCGATCCTATCACTTTCTCGGTCTTTTACTTCGGGGTTTCCATAATCAATTATGTGCCAATTTATGTCAATGTATTAATTCCCATGCCCGTCGTGTACAGCTAATGACCTATAACGCGCCATTCTTCACTACATGGTTTTGCACCAACTGGACCGTGCTGTTCTTCCCGCTGTACTTTTTTTGTCAGCTGGGCAGCCTCAACTACCAGACGGCCACCGACATCCTGGGCGAGAGCGTGCGCAACTTCCGCGACCGCGGGTTTACGGCCGCCCACTTCCTGACTCGCTGCTCCATGTTCTGCATGCTCTGGGTGTTCACCAACTACCTGTATATTCACGCGCTCAGCATACTCGTGGCTACCGACGCCCTGGCCTTGTTCGCCATCAATGTGTGCTGCGTGTATCTGCTCTCGTGGGTTATACTCCACGATCAGTTTGTCGGCGTTCGGGTAAGTTGTGACGATCAGAAAAAAAAAAAAAAAATTGTCAAAGGTGATCACTTGCTGGTCAACTATAATGGATTGTAGGGTATATGATTTATTTTTAGCCCGGTATTAAAAATGCACGGAGGATTTAACAACTCCCCTATCGTGAACTCTTGAGAAGGGCATCAAGGGCGACACTTTTGATGCCCTCTCCCGGGGGTGCCGTCGACTGGAATCTGCGATCCGAATTAAATACCTATAACAATGTAAGTCGGTTTTCAGATCGTAGCGGTCATTTTATGCAGCACGGGAGTAGCTTTGCTCGCCTACATGGACGCCGGTATTACTAACAAAAAGAAAACGATGACGGGAGTACTGTTAGCAGCTTTGGCTGCCGCTGGGTCAGCAGTATACAAAGTAAGCGGAGTAAAGCGTATTCGACGAATATTTAGAAATGTATACAACTGTGATGGAACAAACGAAAAAAGACTCTTTCCGTTTTTGCCATCGCCTTTTCTTTTTGTGTTAATAATAATTGTTCTTGATGGTACTGTGCACAGTAAGCACCTCTATACATAATCATAGTCGGAACTATAGCCTTGACCGGGGTTAATCGAACCCGTGCTATATATTTTATAATTTTTTTTACACACAGATGTATCTGTAAGTACATTTAAAGATACATTATGTTAAAATCATATTACGACACAGCATATACTTACAATAAATATCTTGTCAATTGTTTAGAATTTATAATCTGAAAACATCCAAAAAGTTTGACGAACAAAATGCCTGGCATTTAAATTTTAACATTGGAAATAATGACACAATCGTAAGACTCAAAATTCAAAAATTCCAAAACAGAATATTCTGGTATTCAAACATAGGCACGGAGCCAAGTCCACCCAGGCTCCCCCAAATTTAAAATACTTTAATTAGTACTGATCGATAAGGAAAAGATTGATTTTTTCAATTCAAACACATTAGGGGAAAAAAAAAACTCTTATCACAACTAATTTTTGTAATCTTTAGTCCTTATCGAATATCCACCCGTTTCAGTGGCCCAATCTAATTTTATTTTGTTAAATACGCTGTCGCCGACTGCGGAAAATTGAAAATAACCGACCACGGTATATTTCGTTACAGGTCTTGTTCAAAAAAATGATCGGTGACGCCACGTACGGTCAAGTGTCCCTGATCTTTTCGCTCATCGGACTGCTGAACGCCGCGCTACTCTGGCCCGTGTGTCTGGTGTTGTATTTCTCCGAAGTCGAAATACTACACTGGGACCGGTTGCCCTGGACAATACTTTTGTCGGCCAGTACCCTGTCGTTGGGTATGGGTATATATTGAACCAGTATTAAATAACAACGAAACAGCATTACGCGTGCCACGTGCTGGGATTATTATTAATTTTTATATTGTTTCCAGTAGCCAACCTGCTGGGAAACTTGAGTGTTGCGTTTACTTACGACGTTTTCATTACGTTCGGGCTAATCACCGCCGTCCCCGTGTCCGCAGGTAAACACATAATACGATTGCTAATAATATTCAGTATAATAATAATAATAATAATAATCGTAATTACAATATACCTCTTAATAGCCGGACTGTTCTGACTCACGATAATGTAATATTTTTTAATGCAATACAATATTTTTTTAATCGCACGGAATTTGACGTGTTCGTACCTATAATGTAGTATACCTATTACCCCTACGTCAGTTCGGATAAAAACCGTAAACCCGGGGAAATGCGACGTTTTGATATTATGACCGCACGCGAAAGGTTACGGTCATAATATATACCTACTGTTTATAATAGGTATACGGGAAACGTGATTAACCGTATAGTTTTTATACCTGTATTTGTTAATACGGTGAAATCGGTATAATTTCGAATAATTTTCACTCGGTTATCCAGCGATTAGCGTTGTAGGTAAGGAACAATCATTGTTCAGACAGGTTTAGTTTTGCCATTTTTTTTTTTTTAACGTCCTAAAAGAAGTGAAAAATGTAGATCGGTACCTAATATCTGTACGTTTTACTATGATATGTGCTATTTTCAGTTTGTCCGACATCAACTTTTACACCAAAAATCCACCTAAACTCCAGGGGCGGTTTCTGGTGGTAAACTGTGACCATTTCGTTAATTGAAGAGGTCGTTTTCAAAATTGTCCTTCTATTTTCCTAATAGTGGGGAAATAACGTAGGAAAAATGGGAATATTTACGCAAAAACGATTTCTGTTCTTTTCGATTATGTTTTTGCTGTTGAATTCGATAAATTTCACCATTTTTTTGGGTTATTTATAACTACTAATTGAAACTCTGGACGTATTTTTTAGATATTATTTGGTTTAGATATTTATGTGGTTTCGAATTGTATCGGCTTCTCAAAAATGCTCGTCAATTTGATACAAAGTTGATCATAGGTTTACGAAAAAATATTATCCAAAGTCTTTATTCACAGTTCATTTTAAAAAATTGAGCAGTCGTATGCTTTTCACATTTATTTCAATTTCACTTTAAAACCGGTTTTCAAACGATACATCAATAATTTCGCGATAATAACAACTATAACATTGTTTCAGCGATCGACATAACCATACACGACGTGCAGTTTTACGGTATGAAACTCGCGGGCATCATACTGATATCAATCGGTTTCTTATTGGTCATGTTTCCTAACAACTGGCCGGAATACATTTTCCGATTACTCAGGTAAATTGCACAATAACCGATACCTACCTACGATTCCGATGCGAGCGGTTTAGGAAAATACCTAATACCTATTTGACTACAGCGCTGGCATACCAGATCGGACGAAACACTCACCTAAATTTTATGTTTTTTAACGGTTTATTTTCAGGAATATAATACTACTGAGTCATAGCGCTAGGTGAGTGTAGCGTGAAAACCAAAAAAAAAAAAAAAAAAGCATGAATTTTTTTTGTGGAAATTGTTGAAAGAGTGGACCGATATATGTACATGTATATATGTGTATAAATATACATTATATGTATGTATATATGTATTTATATACTTATATATTTATACATGTATGTATATGTAATATAATAATAATAATAATAATAATAATAATGACATGAATCGTAGCTTGCGGGAAAGGCCTTGTGGATACATAGATGCTGCAGTAGTAGGATTAAAAAAAAAAAAAAAAAAGAAGCGGTTGGCTAACAGTGTAAAAAATAGAAATATTATTATTATTATATATTGTAGTTGAAGACCTCGGAGCGACGGCCTGATAACTCCGGGATTTTTTTTTTCACGCACTTTTTTTTCGGAGGCATAATTTAATAGAAAAAAAAAATCAACAAACCAATTTCCCATATTCGGGCCCAACGGCCAGAAAACAAAACCGGTGCTCGCTGACGCAATCGTGTACGACGTTCTCAACGGGAACGTCGGGGAGACATCCGATTGTTCGGAACGATAACTGTTGTTTCGGTACGCCGGGCGATCGATTGTAAATCCGGAAAAAAAAAAAAATAATAATACGGAAACGTTTCCGTTTTGTCGCTACACGCCCGCGAACGGTTTCAAAAAGCGGATTTATCCGGCCCCGTTGCTCCGGGCGTCTTCAATTACCATTGCACGGGGCATATTATTATATATACATATATATATATATATATATATGTATATGTATATGTATATGTATGTATGTATATATATTTAAATATACTTAGATGTTTTTTTTTTTTTTTTTTTTTTGTACATTATTATTGTTAATTTATATGATATTTTTTGTTGATACGTATATTATTCTAGTGGTCGGCGCGTGTTTTGCGTGTGCAGCTTATTGTGTGATATTATTATGTTGTTATGTACTTACGTACCGTACCGGTACCTTACTCGGTAAACAACGTGGAGCCCGGTTCGCGCGGTCTAAATATTTGGAATGACGTTGCGAATTTTTATTTTTTTCCCCCCGTCGTCTCTTATCACCTTCGCCACGCGCACTTACCGCCACGCCGGCGGACCGCGCGCGCTCGACGCGGCCGGGTGGGGGTGGGGGTGGGACTCGTCGTCGCATTACGCGATTGCTGTCGGGAGACGGCCGTGTCCGCGGCGTTCGCGACGTCGAACCGCAGACGGGTTTCGCGGGGAAAAGAGCGCGTTGGCCGTCTGCGCAGAATTTTCACGACGGCAGGCACCGCGTTTCAACGGCCGCCGGCGGTTGTCGTCTCCCGTCGTCCGCCGCACGTCCCGCGGCCGAACGGTGCCGCCGTTTTCGGGAAAAACCGTAACGTTTTGATTGTCGCCGCGTACCCGTCCAGTTCGAACCGCCGGGCCGTTCGCCCCGAACGACTGATGCCGTCCGACGGCCGTCGTTGACGCGTAATGACAAATACTGTACGCGCGCGACAACAACATATTTGACCGCGGCGTGAACGGGGCTTAACAACACGCGTATTATCATAATGACAATCGACATTATTGTTTATTTATTTATTTATTATTATTATTTTTTTTTTGTTTTTGTTTTTTCGGTTCTATCCTGTTGAGCGCAACCTCTTCTTTTTGTATAACCCCTACGTGGGCATATATTATATAAATATATATATGTATATGTATATATGTATATACAATATATATATATATATATATATATATACATATATTTTACACTTTGCATGGCGACTTAGTACGGTAAACTATATTATATTATAATAATTATAATAATATAATTGCATGCGGTTTTTGGTGATGTAAAAATGTATAAAATAAACCAAAAGATTGTTTACATCACTATACCATACCCAGTGTGATCTTTTTTCTCGGCGAACACTCGTTATTCAAAAAGAAAAAAGAAAAAAAAATTAATTTGACTTTTTTCGAAATTTCAGACACTTATATTTTAGGTGCTTTTCTACAATTCTATCAAACTTTAAAAAAAAAAAAAAACCCGATAAATATTCCGTGTAAATTTCAATGTGTGTCCCGCGATCCCGAATAGTCGGGACGACGTCTCGAAGGAACAGAAAAATTAGTTTAACTACATTGCAAATATGCAAAGGGCGACGAAAATAAAAGTTTTGTACAAGAGGGGCATCTTAAATTTTGAAAGAACGCTTTTTGAAAGAACGAGTGTTCAACGACAAAAGAATCATTCTGAGTACGTATACACATATACGTGATGCGAGTGGCAAACGATCGGTTATTGAGAATGCGATGTAAATGTAGAAAACGACGTTGTCCCGGTCGTGTGCATTTGTGTGTGCGTGCGTGTGTGTGTGTGCGTGTGTGCGTGCGTATGTGTGTGTGCGTGCGTGCGCGTGTGAGTATGCAAGTACACTAGGCGTGTTTTTTTTTTCTGTTCTCGTACCCGCAGGTGGAGCCGAAAAAACCGCGGACAGCCGCCCAACCCGCCCAAGGTGGAGATCGACTACCGGACCGGTTACATCAGGTCGCACTTGCGGTCGCCGTCGGGCCGGGTCAGGTGACCGGTGCGTTGGCATCGTCACCGGAACCGCGGTCGCATCGGCTGCTTCCGTCGCCGCGCGTCCGACTGCGGTAACAAACGTTATCAGGTCACCGTGATGATCGTGTACCGTAGTATGCTGGTATAATAGCGTTTTCGATTCGGCGCAATCTACAAACGCGCTATCGTAGTTGATTACGTTATCAGTGACGGACGCGGGGAAAAATTTCTGGTTGAATGGTCGGCAGGATTGGACGGAGGGCGAACAAATAACAATTACGATTCCGTCAATTGAAAACGTAACAGCTGATTCGGTTTACGGGAGGGGGGATGAACCTCCAAATCAAAACCTTCCCCGCCCGACACTGATTGTTATCAACTATGGTAATATAGAACCACTAGTGCACGAGTGCGACATTTTTTTTTTTCTTCTTTCTTGTAGATTATTGTCGAATTCGATAAAATATATTGACAAGAACTGTTTAGGGTTTTCGGTAGGTACCTACCGATCACCCTGCAATGGCGTACGGAAAAGTAAATTTATATTTATACAAGATGTGCCGAGGAGATCTGAAAAATGCAATCAATTTTATTTATAATAATTTCTAGAGCCTTGCGTTATACTTATTTTTCTGTTTTATATATATTTTTGAAAACCAAAAATATTTAATTTTTTTTTCCCACTAAATCCAAGGCAATAATTTTATAAATTTATTTACATACAACAATTTGTCGATACCAATGTTTATTATTTATGAGTCTGTAATCGTCTAAAATGTTTTTAAGTAAGTTTACAAAAATCATTTGAAAAATTAATGTCCATGGTCAAATAACTGTTGAATTGATTGATATCATTCAATAGTGACAACTCTAATTCAAACAATCGTAGTAAATTAACGACTCATCATTAGTAAACATTTGTAACGCCGAGATTTTATTTAAAAATACATTTATACAATGTCTGTATTGAAATTCGTAAAAACGTCTTTTATTTTTAGTTTTTAAAAAATATAAGAGTCATAGACCAAAGTTCTGTAGTAATTATTACAAAAACGAAAAACTTAAATATATTGAATGGGTAAATCATTGTATTTGTCGGATCTTCGAGGGACACCGGCCTGTTTTTTATGCAATTTTGATGAGCGCGGCGAAGGGCAATCGTATTATTTTGACGAGACGATTTTATTTAGAACGAAATTGAGTCGAATTGTATAAGACGAAACATTTCACGGAATCTTTATGATACTGTTTCGTACCGATATAATGGTGCAGAAGGGCGCCGTTGTAATGGATTACAATGGCAAATTGGCGGCGACCGTCGTGTTTAAATTCGGATAAAATACTTGAAGTATTTCAGAGGGAGGCGGGAACGGCAATACTTGAATAAGTAGTCTATATTGGAATCGCGGGTAAAGAAGATAATAATCGAATATCTACCTACGCGAATAATAGCTACTCACTCGATGCACGAAAGAACGGTTCGACAAATTTGCAGATTCCGACGGAGTGATCCGAAAACATCCAATGGGTATCCGGTGTACACCCAGCGTTATTGATCTAGTCGGAGATGAGTGATTTTTCGTATGAAAACTACTTTCTAGTTTTTTTTTTTTTTTATAATCTCGGGAAAATCTACGTAAAATCTATTAAACGGCATGCAGAGACGTGCAATTTCGAACTCAGGGGAACATACAACCTTGGATAATGGATTTTTTTTCAGTTCCACTCAGATAACTCGTATTTCGTCTGCAACGGTCCATCGTCGTTTATTCCGTTACTTATGTAAACTATCGAATATCCATATACTTGACAACCTACCTTGAATATTATATTCAATTTCCGGCGGCCTACCCATGATGCGAAGCGTGTCCGACTCGTTAATTTTGGTTTTGGGTCAGAATAAAATATTGCCTATTAGGTAGATACTATAATCGACTCTCGAGTAAAGAAACGCGGGAAATATCAAATCGTATATGTACAAAACCATTACACCGGTTTAACCATAAACATTATACATAATATATGTATACATAGTTAAGTTGCACTCGGTGCAAATATACGAGAGTAGATAGCTGTAGTGTATACAAATCGAAAACGCTATTACTGCGGTACGGTGTATCGTTTATTACGGTCCTCGTACAGATGGCGTAATAATTATACCGTGATAATATTATTATTACGATAACAAACACATATCTTTATGTTATATTATTATGTCGTCGGTATTGTATTGAAGTTTTTTTTTTTTTTTTTTGTAAAACTGCAGCGTCTGTTGTATACATAACAAATTAAATATTAAATTATTATTATTATTATAATAATTGTTATAAAAAAAAAAAAAAAAAAAAAAAAAAAAAAAGTCTTATTATAATATATAAAATTAATTTAGATACTTGTGTACAATACCTATATATACAATTACAATAGAACACCAATACTGTAATAAAAATCGATGAAAAAAAAAAAGATATATATTATATTTTTTAGTATATTATTATAATATATTATATCGATCGATTCGATTACAATTTTTTTTTTTCTTTTCAAACACATTTTAAACGTGTACAACATAAAACAGATATTATTGTGTTTTATTATAATATTATTATTATTATTATTGTATTTTATAATATTGTATTCATTCGAACGCGCGAATATTGTTAATGACAAAAAAAAAAAAAAAAAAAAAAATATTTTGTTTAAAAACTCATTATTGTGGATTAAATACAATTTCCGTCCACGGACTAATAATATTAATAATAATATATTATATATGATATTACAATAATATAAATAATAAAATACTTGTATAAACGTGTTTTCGATCATAAAATTACTGTCCATCCGTTTGCCCGACCTTTATATTGTATAAAATATACGATACGATTTGTCCGTCTTTATCAGTGGCGCAATTTGGTGATTTGAGACTTCGGGGGCCCCGTAAAAACGAGTGGCCGTCCATAGGAGTACCAGCAATAAAAAGTGATATATAATTAGAAAATAACGTGTACTCGTATGTCAGGATTTCGGGAAATAAAGTCTAATGGATTCTAACAATATCTAACAAGTCTAAAATACGCTTGTTAGAAATATTTCGCTTAGGTACGTTGTAATTTTGATGAAAACTTTATGCGTACGGTTTTATTGCGTTTTTTATACCTAGTAATAATATTTGTATTCGTATAATGTTTATCGACATCATCATCTACGTAACGCATAACAGGAGATTCAAGAAGGGGAGGAAGTTGAGGCTGCTTCGGGTTGGTTAAATTATTAAAAAGGGTCCAATTTGTATTTGACTTTAAGGCTTCCAAGAATCATTTGTGCCACTGAGTTCTTTATATAAATTATTATTTAATTGAATACTGCCCAATTATCATCGTAAACACGATTATCTGAGCGTACGGCAGTTTGCCAGGCCAAGTTCCAGCATGCCAATAATAAATGCTATTGGTACATTGTACATATTTATTTACAGTATGCCAATGTACACGAACCAATTCACCAGGTTTTTCTCATCCTTAATCTCTGCCTTCTTTTACGATTGGTTTTTAAAATTTAAAACATAGATCACGTAGTTGAGAGTATTTTAAAAAGTTGTCCTTAATGCTAAATATTTTCTAGGAGGAGGGTTTTAAGTACACATTGTTATTACTTACTCACTCATCGAAATCGTATATGGCACTACCGTGTAGATAAAACCTTTGTTGAAAAGGTAGGTCTTATAATGTTACCTATATTGATGTATTTAGGTCTTCAAAGCATCAAATGTCACATAGAAATTACGTGACCACGTGGGTGATGAGAAAGAGAGAACTCGGAAGAAAAGAAAAAAAGGTCAACAGAATCAGCTAATCAAAATAATGATATTTACATTGTGGCCAAGTTTGTTTTATGTCTCATTTAGAAACTGGCCAAGTGTTAAAGAATAAAATAAAAGATTAATTTATCATACATTTTAAACATTTCTGATAAAAGAGCAACGTTTCTCATTAAAGTAGGGAGAAGAGAGGATATAAATTAAAGAAAAAAAAACTTGGTCATAATGTAGATATCATTACTTTTATAAGCAGACATTTTTGGGAGGTGGTCTGAGGACTCAGTTCTTTTTTCACGGTTAGGTTTTTATTGGATAATACACAAACAAGGAAATACAAGGTAAGATAAATGTTCAAGGTGTAGAGGCAATACACGTAATGACGTAACGAGAGACGGAACTAAGCCTAGGGACCCTCCATATACATATTATTTCTCTAACTTTACTAGAAAAATTGTTCTAAAATCATACAGGAAATACTAAAATAATAGTTAAAACAATTAATTCTATAATCCATGGTCGGGGTGTCTTCTCCCAAGACCTTTAATTTGAATCCGTGTTTGGACGCAACCTGTTAGTTCGTATATACTTATACAGTGCCGGGCTGGAGAGGAACATGACCGGGAAAAAAATACTCGAAAGATCGAATATGCTGGTAACCCGTCAAAATGTCACGGTAAAAACGTCGCAAATAAAAAAAAAAAATGTCATCTTATACGAAGTATGTAAAAATACTAGGTACTAGATTTTCCAATTTCTTTTTATGTTTATTAAGTGTCAACTTATTTGTTTTTCCTACAGGTGTTAATAGTAAAAATATAATTATACTTGGTATCCGGAATTGCAGGTTTCCTATACAAATTCAATAGGTATTTATTATTTAATATGGTAAATAATGACTATTAAACAATTATTATAATAGTCAACAGCACATATAATGTAGGCAATAACCATAGATACCGTCAAATAAACTACGTCAGTGACAGTAATATTGTGTGAAGTGTGACGTTATTACTGGTGCAAATTAACTGGACACATATTTAAGTTCAACCGAGTTCTAATTACACTTCATATTACATTCTAATCATATTTTGTTATGTAAACTATGTGATAAACATTTATGGTCGAAACATTTTTTTTTTTTTTTAAACCAACAGTATTTTTTATAATTGGAAATATGTGGAAATATACAGTAAAAAAAAAAAGAAAGAAAGATACGGATACACTTCACAAAATGGGTGAGCAAATGTTTTAGGAGAGAATTTGGGAAGGTAGAGGGGAAATTTAATGAATATCTGTACGCAACGATTAACCTTTGCTAACGAAAAACGATTCTGAGCGAAGTTCGTTTAATAGTGTTGCTTTGTCAACAATATATACCTATGCCATATTATTGTAAAATAATTAAATATGCATTATATTGTATTTTATTTAAAAATATTTGTTTAATATTGTCCGTATTTTCCCATTTTTCTTATGTTTTTTTCTTGGTTTTTCTCATTTATTTGGAAAATTCATGGGAAAATCAAAAAATTGTCTGCTTAGAGTAGCATCCCGGTCATATTTATTTAAAAAAAAAAGTGATATAATTGAAAATTGGAAGAAAATTGCTGGTAGAAAAGATCTTCACAAGAAAAAAATGAAAATAATAAAATAAACATCAAAGTAAAACCAATATAATCCTCGCACCGCTCAGAATTTAAAGTACAAAAGGTACATATATTTAAATGAACAAATAATTTGAAAAAATATGGAAAAAAATTAAACATTTCAAAATATAAAATAGAATAATAATTTATAATATAAAATAAAATCGGTGTCATTCGAATACGAATGAATTTTATACAATTATTTCAAATAGCTATTGTTCAGTGTTTGCATGTTGTACAATTGATCCGTTTGCGGATAGATTGCGATGAAATACTTGAAATCATATAAAATTGTAAAATTTAATTAGGTATTAAAATTTCGTTTTTTTAATTATTTAAAAATTACTATCGAACTTAGGGACCAAAAATTATTTAAATTTAATTTAATTTCACATACATTTCATCAGTCCCTCACAACAAAAACGCCAACATTTTTTTCGGTCAATATTTAGAATGTAATTATCATGAATTTACATAAATATCGCCAACATTTCCATTTATCCAACTAAAGCAGACCTAGGCGTGATATAAAAATATTGTAAATTAGTTACCCGATAAAAATGCATAAAATTAATAATTGGAACATCGGTAAAAATATTTAACTGCGAGTTCTACTTAGAACCGTCTTATGTTTCTAGTTTCATCGTTACATTTGTGAATTAAACTAAATCACTATATACGAGTACATGTACTGTAATATTCCTACTTTTCACTTACAACAAAAGTCTATCCGCAACATTTTCACATTTTATTTGATTGTAATGTGTATTCTCAGAAATTAGAATATTTAACGACACTCTATTTTTTTCAACATTAAGTTATTTGTAAGATAAGAATTCTTATCTTGTGGAAGGAGGGAGGGTTAGAGAAAAGTTTCTTAACTAATAAAAATTTAAATATTAAAAACAAGTATAAACACCTTTTGGCGTTGAAAATATATGGAATTTTATTTACCCGTTGACGACATATTCTACTTTTAAGTTTGGGTTCACGGAATTCGTAAATGATTTACTATTTGAAAATCAAAAGTAATATAGTGGTTCCAGACCCTAAAATTAGGATAAAAAAAAAATAACTACAATGTGACATTTTAGATCTAATTTTTTTTTAAATGTTTTAAAAAACAAATTTCGAATTTCAAATTTTCCCAGATGATAATGAGTGTTTTATCTCGATTAATTTGATCGTCTTATATAATAGTAGCATATTAATATTATAAAAATAATAATGTCACGAATTCGTATTTAAATTAACAATAATAATAATAATAATAATAGGAATAATCGGTTATCTTCTTGATAACCGAAACTATGTAAAACTAGCTGTTCCGCGACCGGCGTTGCCCGTGCCAGTTTACCCATATTAAATTTTGGTTTTGTCCGTGTCAGAATTAAATGAAAACAAATAGGTGGAAAGTGGGTAGTACACTTTCGGCAGACTAAATGTGTTTTATTGTGAAATTTGAATAGTTTAAATAATAGTAATAATAATAATTATAATAGTTTTCTTTTCCGTAACACCTAGGTAACCTTTGCACGAACAAAAATAAGCAAAAAAACAATTAGATATTCGTACCAAATATACCTAAAACTCCCTATTTTACACTCTTAGGGATTAAATTTTCAAAAATTCTTTCTTAGCGGATGCCTGCGTCATAATAGCTATCTGTATGCCGAATTTCAGCCCGATCCGTCCAGTGGTTTGGACTAGGCGATGATGAATCAGTCAGTCAGTCAGTCAGGACATGTTATTTTATAGATATAGATGTACCAATAACCATAAGGATAGGCAAAACGGGGATATAATGTGCTTTAAAGTATGTTTAGAAACCTATAAGCATTCGTAGGGTTACACGTCTGTTAGTGCAAGGCTCAACCAGAGAGACACAATTGTAGAAATATGGAGTTCCATTGTTATTATATTACGTGCGAGATGGACAGAGCAAACAAATGTTTATGACGAAGCACCTTAAAATTAAATTCTCAGATTCTGAGTGAATTTCAGTTTTACTAAATTTTGCTTACCTCAGAAAGTTAGTAAAACTACTCCAAAAGTTCGTATCATTCAATAGATGCGGAATTTTTGCCGGTCGGTATTTTATTTAAAAAAAATTGTCTGTAGTCCCAACAGTTTTTATAACAAATGTAAAGAAAAAACTAAATCAACAAATCAACAAAAACAAAGACATCGGTTTTTATTTTTATTGATTTCTGGGTTACCTATACTAAAGGAAAAAGCACGACTGTCAATTAACTAATTTAATCAATTTACTGAGTTACGTAGTGAACTGTTTTATCACAAAATCATTATTATCATTATTTATTACCAGGTGTATATGAGTACTCGTCCCGTCTTGATGCTTGCGAGTTTCAAGTAAACCGACTGGCAACCGTACCAGGAACTCATGCGCCGACATGTGTAGTGTTCAGGTACTACGTAAGCGACCGTCCGTACACCAGGTAACGGTAGGACAACTGCCGGCAAGACGGAAACTGGCGGCCCGGTCGCCTAGGCCCCTGGTACCAACAACGTGGTTCCGGCGACGCACTGCGAGACCAAATTCAATCAATAGCCGGACAAAAAGTCCTAACCGTAAATATTTAATTATATATATACATTAGGGTGACCATTTTTATGGGGAAAAAAAAAAAAAACGGGACATACATTACTCCCCCCCCCAAAAAACCCCTTTTATATACAATAATATACATTCACACATATCCACACAACTGTAGAGTGTAAAAATACAAACCCGAGTCTTATCACAAACAATTATTTTGTTAATTTTAAAATTATACATGTATATTAAAACTATAAAATTATAAATAATATTATATTTCACATAATATTTAAGTTCGTAGATTACGTAGAACGACACATTATGCCCTATACAATATGTCTCATGCTTATCGCTAATTTTACTTTCGTCGGTATTGAGACTCAATGTTCGTTCCACGAAAACTGTTATCTGTTATTTATAAATTTGGTTTCAAATTTTAAATATTGGTACGAGTAAAACTGTTTTTTATGTTTGTTTCGTACATCGATATTATTTTCCACCAACACAATATGGAAATAACGGGATTAAAACGGCACCATCTTCTAAAAACTGGATAAAAAGCGTCCCGTTCGAAGTTTGTCGGGACACCGGGGACCCTCCTACTAGTAAGCTGGGATTGATTAAATAGGCGATGAATTTTTTTTTTTTTTTTTGCTCATCACTCATCACCCACCTAATCTTCGGTCCTCTCTCTATAAATTCTTCAATACCACCCCAAAAAAGGTCTTCCCACGCCCCAACTTCTTTTTAATGGTGCCCTAGGCTGCAGCCTTTTCAGCCTATTGGTTAATTAGGCCCTGCCCATAGGACAGAGAAATGTTATCGATTTCCCATTTCAATCCCGAAAAAGTCCAGTGTTGGTAAAACGGTCAATCATTTGCGTATACATAAAAATCGTGTATTACTATTATGGCACGCCGATCAAACATTCGATATTTATAATAATAAAATTTATTTGGTCGTTACGGGAACTTAACGCGGAAAATTCGTTTACACCGATTTAACAATCTTAAATTTATTTATTGTACGTTCTTTACGTACGGCATACAGAATACACCAGCAAACTTGGTTACTCGGATAATGTTACGAACATCGATTATTTTTTTCTCGATATTTTAATTGTTAAGTCAGATATTACGTGTAGGTATATGAAATATAGCAATTTAAAAATGCGTACATATAAATCGCTGAGAAAAATTAAAATATCGAGAAAAAACCCGTGTACGTGAGGACAGAAGCTGAAAACCTTTTAAAAAGTTCGATAAAAATAATCACTGTTTAATCTAATACGAAAACTGACAGTATAAAGTTAACCGTGTTAAACGTCTGCTATATCGTGCGTTTGTATAAGACGAGGGTTAAGCACGCGGATATCAAATTCGCTATTATAACTTTATTTTTTACTTCATAGTAAGTTCTTTAAATGTAATTATGTTACACTGTCTACTCGCATGTTTTACATAAGTTTTGTGTATATCTACGGTTTTATTCCAGTAGTCCGACTATATAATTAACAAAATGCGATAATTTTTTTTCTATTGAATATTTTTGTAATATTTTTTAATTTGGAATAATTATTAGAACATTCCGTGATAATTGTTATATTTTATATTTTTAATTTTTTTACTTTAAAATTAAAAACAAAAACATTTAGATTTTTCATTTATTATTATTTTTTTTGTATATAAACCAAGACAGCTATTTTATATATTGATCTGTAAATTCTTATTTTTGTGCCTTTTGCTGCTCGGTTCGATGCTCATTTGGATGTGAAAATAACAAACGATTTAAAAACAGTTAAAAGAAAACTATCGTCTTCGGAGTCTTCCTCCAAGACGTTTAAGAATTCCAAAATTGAAACTAAAAAGCATCCACGTAAGTTTTAAACAATATCATTTTAGTTTACGGCCTTTATATAAATTAACTACTTCGGTTTTATTCTTCTTGTGTCCGTCCATTTTGCTGTTCGATTCCGTGTGAATTCGGATGTGAACGTAACGAACAATTTGAAAACAGAACAAAGATCACCGCCATTGGTTTCAACTCCCGGAATAACGTTTGAAAAGGAGTCCGGTGCTAAAGAACTACCAAGTAAGTTAAAAATGCATTTATTTACTTGGCGTCCCGTATACACGGTTTGGGAGTGATAAATGCGCTCAATTCAACTATAACATCAATATGTGGGGAGGGGGTAAATTTAAAATGTAAATATAAAATATTTGATCGTCTAACAAATAATGCATAATGTATATTATAATGAATATAAACTAACTAGCTGTAAAATGTATTGTGAAAAATATACTTTTATTATTACTCGGCTTTGCTTATGGGCAGCAATTTTGTAACTTGAATTTTTAATATTATCTTTATATTTCGCTCGTATGAGTGAGCGTAGCACGTTTATCGAATAATGTTTGTAAAAACGATAATTTAAAAAACTAAATAATTTTGAATAATTTTTTATATTACCTATAGTTATTATAATATATGTAGGTAATCAATAATAATATATTATATACATTATTGAAATTTATTGTACTCGAAAAATTTTTGATAGTTTTCACATTTGTTCTGATTTATTTAGATAACCGAGTCAATATAGTTTCTTGATTAATCTCAGAACAAATTTCCAGAATTCCGGGAATCTTCATTTTCTAATTTAATATTAACCAGATAAAAATATTTCACGATCCATTAAAGAATTTGAAGAAATCATAGGTGAACCGATTGTCATCTCCGATGAACCCAGTTCGGATGAGTCGGAGACATCCAGCTCGGGAAATTTCCGACAAACATCCGAAATTCTGAAAATCTTGGTTGACAAAAATTCGATCTGGACGTCACCAAGTGTAACCAAAATATCAAATGCCAGATTGAAAGCGGCCATTGGTAAATAATCGAATTTTCAGACTAAAATTGTATTATTAATTAAAAACAAAAAAAATTAAAATACAAGTATACTACAAACGGTAAAAATATAATAGTTATTTGAGATCGTGCACCTTAATTTTATGTTAATACTTGCAGCAGACGTTTTGAGTTGATTTCAATAGGCGAGATCGCATAATAAAACGAATCGCTTTATCATGTTCGTCCTCCACCAGTGATTTCAAAGAAAATTTTAATGTAAATTTAATAACATATTATTATAATGTTCAAAAATGTGCCTTAATAACTTTCTCACAAAATGATTATTATATTAGGTATGTTATTAAAATACTAAGGTTACTAAGGTTACTAAGGTACTAATATCAAATATTTGAGAATTATTTTAATTACAATTTGACAGTGTTAGTATTAAATATGATTAAGGTGGTATGATAATGTGGATTGTATAAATTATAATTAACAAAAATATATTGTTTAAGTATCTACCTAACATCATTAAAATACTATTGAGTCGGTAAAAATTAATTGTCAACAATTTTCCGGTAAACCATTTTAAAATATAATATATCCCATTTGATAGCACTCAAACACTTTGAATAACAATTATTAACTTATTGTAGTAACAGCTGTTTTATATCAATTAAATTACTATTGATAATTGTTAACCATTAAATTACAGATAGCATATTAATTAAGGAACCAGATGTACCGGAAACCCGAGGAGTCACAAGTTTATTTTTACGGGTTTTATAAACGAATTGCGAGTGCACGAGAACGCAGTATGCAACCTATTGTTAATAGACCTGAAAGCATTAAAGGTAATTAAAAAAAAAAAAAAAACCAGAAATCCATTAGATTAAATATATATATATTTGACCGGAATCTATTTTTATTACATTTTTACTGTTTATCAGTGGAAAAGCTGAGCGAGGAGGTAACAGGTATAATTGAACCCAACACAAACATTTTTTTTGTGTATTCATTTGTTTACCTTGGTATTCAATTTTATGAAATAGGGTAATTAATGACCCTCACCCCACTTAATAAAAGTTTTCCAAGTACTTCTGCGTATCATATTTAAGGTCGCTATCAATAAAAGGACAAAGGTTAATAAAAATGAGTGGAATGATTTAAGTTAAAAAGGTGAGAGTGGCTTATCAAGAGTTTTTTTTTTTTTTTTGTTAGACTACGATAAAATATAATTTCAGTTATATCTAATTAATGTAAATAAATAATTGTAGTCCGAAGAAATATTTTCTTAATAATTGATCTTGGAACAAATTGTCAGAATTTAGCGAATTTCTTTGATTGCTAATTCAATATAAACAATATAAAAATGTTTTAGAGGATACGAAGAAGGACGACAATGTAGATGATTTGGTTTACGAAGATGTTGAAGACGACAAAAACAATAATGTATCGTAGACATGAGCGGCCAAGTATATGACGCGATTGCATCACACGGACATTTTCCAAAATAGTTTCATTTTTTTTTTGTGTTTATCTGAGCAATGATATTCGTGGACATAATGGCATGGTGATAAATAATCATCGACTTCTAATGTTGCGTATGGCGCAACTGATGTCCCAGAATAAAATGATTGGTTATTAAGAACCAATTAAAATAAGACTGTCACATGACATTCAAAACGAAATTGTATCAATATTGAGCCACAGTATAAATTTAAAGTTAATTTATAAAACTAATAAAAATTCAATATTATACTTAAAGACGTTCACGTTTACTGAAGAAACTGAGGAAGCTAGAGGAACTGAAAAACTAGAGTACAATTGTTACGGGCCGTTCGGACACAGCCTTTTGATGGGAAGATGTACACGTGTGTTAGGTCTACAAATGGTTTTTTTTATTAGAATTTAAACAAAACACGGTTGACAAATTGTATCTATTAGTGAAAACCCTACGACACCAGACCAGGACTAAACAAGATTTAGTTGTAACTATCAGGTAAAAGTACACTAAAGAAATGACTGAACGGGTTGGCGTCGAGGTGACGGTGCTCCTTCTTCTCGTGCGTTAGTGGTGGTGTAAATTTCTCGATTTCTGACTGAGTTCAGGTTCTGACCCTGTGATGACGATTTCGGTCTCATACATGGTTGTCGCCTCAATCGGGGCCTAATAATAACACGGCATTTTGTTTTACGTACCCATTTTTACCGTCCATGTAAAAATATGATCTAAAAAAAAAAAAAAAAACGGAATTTTATTATATTATAATTATTCGTATGCCCGTCATACATGTCGGGTAATAATGGTAATTTAAATATTTAAACTGACTAAAGCAAAATCCGAATGCTGCAAATCTTTGTGGCGCAAAGTTATTTACAAGTTTTTTCGTACACAGAATTTCATTGAAACAATCGTTTTAGCGTACGGAAACTGCGCACCGATTTATTTAGACTGTAATACAATTTATATTAAACTGTGAAGGATCAATTTGCAATAATTTATTGTGAATTTACAATTTATGAAACTGCTGGGTACGTTGTGGACTTAACGTGACCATAATTTTGTTTACCCTCAGAGTGAGACGTCTGGACATTTTAAGTGGGGAAATAGTCATTTTATTCATTTTTACATGCTACGACAACATTAAAAACATCAAATAAAATAAAACCAGCGGCGTAAGGAGTTTCTACCCTCCCCCCATCAAATTTTTTTTTTCCATATTAGTTAGGACTTAAGACAATAGGTAAATAGTACAAATATAACATTATGATATTATATTAATATAATTTATAGAAATTATCCAAGTGTTTACACTTTTATTTTAAGAAAAACAATTACGAAATTGGCAAAAACAACGATAACGGCGTCCGACGTCCAACAACGATATCATGTCGGCAATCGGAAAATAAATGGTAAATACGTATTTTTACTAGCACACGATTTTTTAAATTTGTTAAAAAATGTTCACGATTTAAATCATTCTTATTAAAATGACGTCAATTTGATTTTACATATTTCGGTATAATAATTACATATTTTTACATATTTCACTAATTTTTAAATATGTTTTATCATTTCATCATTCATACGTTTTCAAGCCACGTTGCAGTGATCGAAAACAGCTATTGATCGGTATATTATCGCCGTATATTGTCGGTTTATATTTTTAGTCGTTATCTTGTTGCAGTGAACGAAAACAGCCATTTATCGGTACCTATATTATCGTACATTGTTGATTTATATTTTTAGCTGTTACTTTGCACACAAAAATATGTCCTTAAATGATTGTATGCGAATTGTCGAATTACCGATAGAAAAATTACAACTAAACTAAACATTCCCCCCCCCCCCATACTTTGATGTTTTTAGCACATATTTTATAAATTATACTTTCATATTTTAAGCACACATTTTTTAAATTTTCAATACGCATTATAAATCCGTTTCCTAGTCATGTCAATCCGGCAACCGCTATTCACTATCATAGTATTATACTAAAAAATGTATTATTTTTAATCGCATTCGAGTTTGCAACGTTAGTACCGTTACACGACATACGTACAATAAACCTAGACAATATCGTTACATTCGTACGTATCATTTAACTATGGAGAAATAATAAATAAATAAATAATTTACAATATGCGAATATTGGATGGTATTGTTATAAAAGCAAGAGTATTATTGTACAAGAATATGGCTTGATGTTTCCGCAATTATTTGTACACACTGTTAATACAATAATAAATTAACAAATTATAACAAATAGCCGACAGCTGAAACTTTGAAAGCATTATTATGATGTTTTTTTTTCCAATAGAACAATGATTCAATTATTGCGGTTTAGTAACAGTTTTAGTATTTATTGTTTATTTTTGTTTATGTTACTGTTTAGCATAATTACGCGTTTACTTGGCATTAAATATTTGCCTCTATCGTGGTACATATCCACGCGATTATTATAGTGCAATAGATATATTTTAAGTTTCTCTCTCTTCCTCCCACCTGGGAAAAAAAAAGCGGCGTATCTACGCCGCTGAGTAAAACACAGCTGCAGTAGAATATGATAGAACGTTCGAAACAAGCGAAACACCTACCTAATGTATTATTATGTTTAATTATTTAAAATTATAAAATCAACCGTTTTCATTCAGCGTCGAGTGTCCATAGCAGAGATGGACACAACCGACCAATTCCTACCGACTAAATCAGTAGTACCGGTGTAACTAATTTAGTCAACTAAACGAGGTAATTTATTCAACTAACGACCGATGAATAATTTTTAGTTGATTAAATGACTAACGACTAGTGACTAATTCAGCGAATAACGAACGAATTAGTCGACTTGTTTCAAAGATTTTATATTGGTTGTGTACATTTTTAGTCGGCCAATTAGTCGGTGGTATTCGATGGAAACCGACTAATATTTGGTAGTTATGAGTAGTCGTAGTTGTGCCCATCACCAGTCTATAGTGTTCATATACATAAAACGTAAGTACCGCGTTCATTGCATTGTACATATTGCAATACTTGTCACAAGAGTATCTTGACCATAGAAAATATTTCCCTCTTTAAATTTAGTTAATGTATTTGTGTTGAAATTCCAATTTCAACGTAAATGTCACGATGTATATTCTGAGTGTACCCGAGAAAAATGGCGTTACAAAAAGACGCGCGGATCTGGTCTTTTATTTATATTACAAGCCGTTTTCTGGGAGAAAAGTTTTTATTGTGCAGTATATACTTACGGTGCCCACGTGTTTTCTTGTCGGCGATATGATAAACGCGTCTACGGTCATTTTTAAAATTTTAAAACTGTTTAAGCACCCATTGAAAAGAAATCCCGATATTAAACTTACTCAAAATTTGACAGCGACGCGTGCGTACCGAGATCGATTAAAATAAATAGGTACGGCTCGCAGCGACTTTCGCGTTATTCTGGTGTCAACAGCAGTCCAAAATAAATATTACTCGACTATCTTGCATCTGATTGTTATGTGGGCTTATATATTTAGTGGCGGATCTAAAGAGGGAGGGGACAGACGGTGTGACCTTGAATTAGTAGCCGTCGGTTAAAAGGTAAACATTAATCTGGCCCCACTTTTTGGCTTTCATAAACAAATAATTGTACACTTTTCGTTTGGAGCTGGTTTGTATTCTTTTGGAACGTCCGTTGTTTCGCCAATTCCATTGTCAATTCGAACTTAACCGACACGACATTTCCCAATAATCGTTATTTGGAAAATATTTAGTAATGATTTTAAAGAAAGTTATCCAAATTTTAAGATTCAATTGTCTATCTGGAACAAATGTGGCCCATGTAAATTTTTTATTTTGAACACGTGTGTTTAACAAGCGTGTTTAACGCGTGTGTGTATTGACGAAAAATGAACGTCGATGAAGTCAGAATGGAGCGGACCGACTTAGTATCGAAGACTATACGTCTTTCATAAGTTCGGATATTACGTGTGTTATGTTACGTAATGTTTTCTACTAGCGATTCTGTTCCGATCTACAATGGTAGCACTTTTTCTCAAAGGAAATCTTACTTAAAGAGGTCATTTTTTGATTTCCCAAGAGTTTTCCCAGCAAATCCGGGAAAAACGAATCAGTATTAAATAAAGATTATTTTTATTAAGAAAAAATACATAGTGCCTACTTAATTATTTTACCATAATATGACATATATATTGTTGACAAAGCATCACTATCAACTGAACTAAGGTCAGAATTATTTATTTGTTAGCAATGGTTTATCGTTGCTTACCCGATATTAATTAAATTTCCTTCTGTGTTCTCCATTTCTTATTCCTAATTACTTATTATGAGATCTTCCTTGAATCTGCCACTCCGCCGTCGTCTTAAAAAGGACGACTTTTAAAAGGCCGTTATACTTGTCTGGCTCCCACAAAGTGATCTCACATAATAGTTGAATCAAATTTTTATTAACAATACATTTGGTTTTACGAAAGTACATTAACATTAGGTATCGCTTGTATAAAAAATATATAAATATAAAACATACCTTTTTATTTACTTGTGTCTTGTAATCGCAGTGACACATGTACGATGTACAAGTTTAAAATTTAATAGTCATTTAAAATCGATCAATTTTATTTTAAGAAAACATTTCGAGAGGGGGGTCTGAAATCTAATCTCCCTCCCCTGACTACGGCCTTGTAGTTGATTCTCTGTATATACAGGGGGATGGATATCATGACAATCGTCCTTCACCCACTTTGGTTGTGTTTCTATAATTGGTTGTGTATTGATCGTATAACCTTATTTCTATATCTTTGAAAAATTTGATTGGGAACATTATATGGTATCGTATATTTAAGTAGTACGAACATTTATATTAGAAGAGGCTTTTGTACAAAAGTCAAAGTTACAATCAATATGATTTATAATAATATACAGAATATAGATGTGTAAGCTACCGATTATACCTACAGTCTATATTATTATGTATAATACGTGTAAGCCCTGATGATATTAATTTTATCTGTACACGTTTCGAGGGCTTTTGAATCATTATTTTTATAATGTGTAATGATTTTGGTATTTTATTTTACACTAGTTTTAATTTATATTTTACTGTACTGAAGAACAAATTGTCTCTAATACTACAGAATATTCACGGAGTAATGTAATGCTTTCTAAAAGCACTGACACAATTTCGGTCGAAAAACGGCTTCTATGGAACTTTGTTAGTAACATTCGACTTTTCTTTTTTAGTAAAGTTCATAGTTCAAATTTTAACATGACTCGTTTTAAAATGACGTGATTATTTTGTATTAAAAAAAAAAACAAATTCATTTTTAAATTCAGCAAACTATGTTTAACTGAATTTCAAGTATAATCGTATTTTGATTGCAATGATTTGTCGTTGAATTCAGCCGGAAAATGTGAAAGTCTCCAAAAAATAGTCGAGGTCGTGCACGGATCGGAAAAATAAAATAAATACTGCGAGACGTGAAAAGAAAAAGCCGCCCGTTGCAATGACTGCAATCAATCTGACCATGAAAAAAATAGAAAAAAGTATCGAGTAGTAGATGAGCTCGTCCCCTGTCCCGACTCTTCGAACACCGTCTGCATAGACTTTGCACAACAGATCATAATCCATAATACAATGCGATGTTTTCAAATATTTTGTGCGTGCCGAGTTGTAACGTTACGTCGCACGCTCGGAAGTCATACGGCAGAAACGACGAGGAAGACGATAAACACGGGGAACCGCGCAGTATGGATATTTGAGTGATTTTATTGTATTTATTAAACCGTTCAGTTATATAAATGTCATCATTACACTATATATATATATATATATATATATATATTATAATATTATTATTATATATCATATGCGTATTAATACAAAACAAGCCCACACGAAATAATAGTAATAAAAAAAAAAAAAAAAAAAAAATGTTTAACACAAACATACATAAACATAACACGACTAGAATGTTTGTACTAGATTTTTACTATTTTCTACAATAATGTTTATATAATATTATTTATTAGTCGTCTAAAACTATTCATTTTTTTTTCTTCCACGTCTTATATTGTATAATATACGCGTAATATCCGTTTTATATATTTACAACAAAATGTGCGCGAACATCTATAATATTATTTTTTTTTTCGCCTACGAATTTCGCGTCATCGCGTCTTTTACATAGACAATACGTTAAACATTATAATAATAATAATAATAATAAAAAAAAACATATTCGAATTGAATAATTAAGGCATTAAATTGTTGTACAATAGTGTCAGTCGTCGTTTGCGGGACGCGTCGGTACAGGCAGAGGCGTAGATTAAGATTGCACCCCGTGGATTTTTGAAATTTTTTTCCGAACAGTTCAAATTTTATTAGATAGATAGTATATAACGGGTATGACGGATTTCAGACCACACGACTGTAATAATTTAATGTCATTAAACGAAACGATTTATAAAGAACAGTGCACGGGATTTGGTGGAAAAATAGTAATTTTGCTCGCTAATAAAAAAAAAAAAAAAAAATAACGACAATTAGTGATGTAAATTGTACAGATTTCGTCGCGTTCAACTTCAACAATCATAATAACGAACGTGGTTATTCGCGGGTGTATATTTGACGGGCGAATAAGCGATCGGCTTTGTCTGCAAAATATGCTCGCTAAACTTCCTAGTATACTGGACAATTTTGAATTTAGTTCCGCGCACTGTTTAACGCGCACCTATAATACGTCCGTGTAATTTCCCTAAACGGATCGCGAACGACAAACGATATTAAATTCTATAAACCGGACGGAAAATCTCGCACACGTTCGACACGTGTGAAATATTACAGTTAACAATGAAATATTACAATTAACAGTATAAAAATCTATACGCTACTGCTATCAGTGGCGTACAACGATATTGGGCGGGTAGGTATTGGGGTTATTTCCGAAATTAAAGACGTTTGTTAGGGAGCCAGGAGGCGCGGGAGGCTGGAGTGGTTTTAATTATGTAATTATTATTTTGCGGCCATACACAACATGGAACCAAATACGAATTTGCCTGCTCGTTGATTCCTTTAGTCGATACATCATGTACGCGATAAAATAATATAGAGTCGAAAAACTCCTTTCGAACATCATTTTCGGTGTAGAACGCGCTTGGGATTATTTTCACTAATTTCAATATGCGTAAACCGTTTTGATCGGACGCGACGGGAGTTCGGTACGTGTCACTGTACGCCACTGACGGCTATAATATATTTATAATATCTCAGTTACCGTTTATATTGTAACAACGTACTAACGTGTTCGATTAATTGTCTTTTTAAACGACAAATTTTTAAAAATAAAAAAAAAAATACCATCATTATCTACTTTTTTCGAGTACGTTTATAATGTAAATGCAGATATATATTTGGATTATAATAGTATCAATGCTTGCAGGACGTTGATCTGTTGTGAACACTTTTCGACGCAATGAAATGTGGTGACGGGACATAAATCGAAATTAGAAATTTGGATTTTACAATTTGCAGCCTTTTTATATTAATATTTTTTGTTTTAATCCGAACTCGTTTTCAAATATGAATGCACAATTACGATTGCCGATAACGCGTCGTCGTTCGAAAATTCGAAATCCGGTTCTATAGCGAAAGATCCGTAATTTGTTAGATTTACGGATTGATTTCGTATGTATACTCCGGCCAAGCCGGACTTTTTCCCATAACTTATTGGAACGACAGCATCACGCAGATACGGAAATGTATGATATATACTCACGATGACGGAAAATTTACCGTATACAAAAAAAAAAAAAAGGGGGAGGGGCGGGAAAAAACGAAACC